TATCAGCTCTCACCAAACTATGCTCACCATTACGTCAGCTCTGATCCACATACATTTCATTTACAACTCATTTACTTTCCACAAGTACCTCACATGGCAGATGCTATTATCTCCCCCATTTTATTAATGAAGAAAGTGAGACAGAAATAGTTGAATAATGTGCACATCATCATAAAACCAGTGAATGCAAGACCTAGGATTGAAATTCAAGTGTTCTGAACCCTGAGGCTCTTCCCCACCCTGCTCTCCAGCTCCTCCATGTCTCAACACACAGTCACAGCAGCAAAATTACAAATTACAATTATATTTAACTAGACAAAGGTGCACAAAAACATGCATTGGAGAAAAGATAACCTCTTTAACAATTGGTGTTGGGAAAACTGGAAATCCATATACAACAAAAAGAAATTAAACCCCCATCTCTTACCATGCGCAAAGCTCAACTCAAAATGGATCAAGGATCTAGGAACAAAACCAGATACCCTTCGTCTAATAGAAGAAACAGTCGGCCTTAATCTCCATCATGTGGGATTAGGCCCCAATTTACTTAATAAGACTCCTTTGGTGCAAGAATTAAAATCAATAAATCGGATGGATTCAAACTAAAAAGTTGATTCTTAGCAAAAGAAACAATCTGTGAGGTGAATAAAGAGCCTACATCTTGGGAGCAAATCTTTACCCCTCACACATCAGATAGAGCACTAATCTCTAGGTATATAAAGAAGTCAAAAAGCTAAGCCCCCAAAAAACAAATAACCCAATCAATCAAGGACCTGAACAGACACTTCTTAGAAGATGATATACAATCAATCAACAAATATATTAAAAAAAACATTCATTATCACTAGCATTTAGAGAAATGCAAATCAAAACTACTCTACGATTTCATCTCACTCCAGTCAGAATGGCAGCTATTATAAATAGAAACAACAAAAAGTGTTGGGTGTGGGGAAAAAGGTACATATATACATTGCTGGTAGAACTATAAATTGGTGCAGCCAATATGGAAAGCAGTATGGAGATTTCTTGGAAAATTGGGAATGGAACCACCATTTGACCCAGCTATCCCTCTCCTTGATCAATACCCAAAGGACTTAAAAACAGCATACTACAGGAACACAGCCACCTCAATGTTTATAGCAGCACAATTCACAGCTAAACTGTGTAACCAACCTAGATGCCCTTCAATAGATGAATCTAGGGCTTTGGAATAGATTGAATCTATTCCAAAGCCCTAGATTGGTGCCTAGAAGCCTCCAGTCATTCTGTAAACCTGCAGAATGTTTTAAAAAATGTGGCCTATATACACAATGGAATATTACTCAACAATAAAAGAATAAAATCATGGCATTTGCAGGTAAACGGATGGAGTTGGAGAAGATAATGCTAAGTGAAGTTAGCCAATCCCAAAAAACCAAATGCCTAATGTTTTTTTTTTTCCTCTGATATAAGGAGGCTGATTCATAGTGGGGTAGGGAGGGGGAGCATGGGAGGAATAGATAAACTCTGGATAGGGAGAGGGGTGGGTGGGAAAGGAAGGGGGCATGAGGTTAGCAATGATGGTGGAATGTGATGGACATTATCATCCAAAGTGCATGTATGAAGACACAAATTGGTATGAACATACTCTGTATACAACCAGAGATATGAAAAATTGTGCTCTATATGAGTAATAAGAATTATAATGCATTCTGCTGTCATATATAAATTTAAAAATTAATTAAAAAATGTGTTGCTACCAAAAACAAAACAGAGTGGTGGAAATGAAGATGAATGAGGGATGGGGAGTTGTCTTCCCCTCTGCTCATTCATTTATTTTTCAATATGACACAGTCTAGACCTAGTGGGGCACTTAGAGGCAGGAGCTCTTGCAGTCTATGCAATTGCTGTGGATTAAATGTTTGTGTCCCCCACAAATACCCATGTTGAAATCCTTACCCCCAAGGTGAAGGTAGTGGGAAGTGGGTCCTCTGGAAAGTGATTAGGTCATAAAGGCAGAAACCTCATGAATAGATTAGTGCCCTTACAGAAGAGGCCCCAGTGAGGCCTTTGTCCCTTCCATGATGTCAGGACCCAGTGAGAAGGCAGGAAGCACATCCTCAGCAGACAATGGTCATATAAAGAGTATTTATCTGAAGCTGGTCATCTGACCCTTCAAGGTTGAAGACACCAAGAATAACTATGGATCCAGGATTTCCAGGGATGTCCAACTGCCAGGTAATAAAGCATCCTATTCCAAAGCTCTAGATTGGTGCCTAGAAGCCTCCAGTCATTCTGTAAACCTGCAGTCACCCTGATTCCAGGAACAGCAAAACCTCACAGATAGATAATGCCCCTAAGTTGGAGCAGTTACTCCATGATGGGAACGAAGGTTACCCCTCTAAACACAGGAATCATTTCATGGGAACCCAATTACTCCTTTAAATGATGACAATAACCTCTCTAGACCTCAAATAAATAGACTTTAGGTAGTGATTACTCACACCAGTTTGGCCAAGACTGCTTAACTATGCATACCTCTAGCCACTGCCCCAATTCTTCCTCTATTTAAACCTGAACCTCTTGTCAGTATCCCCAAAGACAGGGTCCCCTTATCTTCCCAGTTAGCTCTACTGATTCAACTTCCTTTCCTGCCTTCACCACTGCTCTTTGATTGGCATCTTGGGATGGTGGCAGAACCTAGCATGTTGGGACCCCTGGAGTCTTGGCCTTTGCCTAAAACTCTCATATAACAAAGGCTCTGAGGAAGAATCTGTTCTATGCCTCTCTCCAAGCTTCTAGTTGCTGGCAGCAATTCTTGGTGTTCCTTGGCTGGTTCAATATGTCACCCGGTCTTGGACTCCACCACTCTCTGTGTCTTTTGAATCTATATCTCTGTCCCAATTTCCCTCTTATAAGAACACTGGTCAATGTATCAAGGCTCATCCAAATCCAGTATAACCTCACCCTAATTTCATTACATCTGCAAAGATCCTAGTTCCAAATATGTCAGTCAAAGGTGCCTGGATTTAAGGACTTCAATATATTTTGGGGAGGGACAATTCAATGCACAATAGTGCATAATCTTCATATTATAGATTGTAAACTGAGACAAAGTAGTTTACCTGGGGATATATAAAATAGGTGATATGACTCAGTTTTTGATCTTTCTATATCTGATTATTTTTACTGATTAGGACCTTACTTATAGTAGGCCCTCTGCTGTGTGATTCATTTCCATTTCTAATCCTCAGATCAACTGAATATAATTATTATCCCTCAATTTTATAAACAGAGCTCAGATCACTGAAGAAGCTTATTCAGAAGTTCACAGGTAGGAAGCAGTATATCTGGGACTCAATCCAAAGTCCTGGCTAGTAATTCTCACCCAGATCAACAGAGCAGAATACCTTTGGGAGGGGCTCTCTTCTCACCCCACCCACTGTCTCAAGGTAATAGAACTCTCTTCCTGCAGGTGAGAATCACAACTGTAAATGAAACCTTACCAGAACTGTCCAAGGGAGGAGTGTAGAAACAGCAAATTAATCATTGAGGATCAGAGAACTGCAACCCAATGCCTCATGCATGTGATGATCTGATGGGAAACATTAGTATTCATCTTCCTTCCAGCAGTCAAAGGAGAGTTGAAAAGACCACCAATGAGTAAATCTCACTAAGCAGCAACATATGCCACAATTAATTACTTCCCTACTGAGTGCTGCACATGTGCTGTGGATGATTTGTGTCCAGACGCTTCAAACAAGCCTGAGCCTCAGTAGCTCCCTTAACACAGGGAACAACGGAAAAATACCCAACCCCATGCTAGGAACAGAGGCCGGATTAGCACATGTTAGAGTTGGATTTGCTCATATTATCTCAAACACACCCCACAGAAGTTGGGGCTAGGAACACAAGCTTTGGAAGTAGGCAGACTTGAATGCCAAAAGTAGTTCTAATATGCACATCTCTGGTGGTAGAGACCACTATGCACTCCTGCACTATGCAGAAGAACACAGTCCAGTTATTTCTCTTCTGTAAGCCTCAGTTTACATACCTGCAAATTGGAGATATTCACACTTGCCTCAGAAAGTTATTCCCAGGAATATAAACATGATTCTGACCCTTGATTCCCATGAGGGAATATGAGCTATCAATAGAAATGAGACGGTAGTTAAATTTGACTTTATTATTCTTATGTGTCTAAATTTCTATTTGACACATTTGTTCAAGTAATAAATGTGAACAGAGCTTTGGCAGGAGGACTGGAGATGATGAGAAAACAACTGAATGATAAAACCCAGACTGACAGAAATACACTCATTTCTTTCAATCGTCTTTAGTGTTATCTCACTGAATAAAACACACACAGAGGGATGGATAGGGGTAGGGGACAACCTGTAGCACTTGCCTGACTGCCTGGCTGCTTGAGAAGCTCATTCAGAGGAGGTGTAGCCAGGACATGTGGATGCCAGAGAATATAACACTCAAGCCCTAGATCAAGAATCACTTGGACTGAAGATGTCCCAGGAAGGGACCTGGGGCTATATCCCTTTCCAAATGGGTGAAAGTATGTAGGAAATAGAAATATTAGGAAAAAGAAGTTCACAAAAGTTTTGTGATTCACTTAATTTTATTAATTTATGTCTATGATTTTAATGTTATTGCTAGAACCACGTTGTTCATTAAGAGTATTTACCCACAGCTTATTTAAGTCTTCAAATACCTCTGCTTGGTTTTGTATCTATGAGGTAATATCCCAAAGAGCAGGGATGAAGTTCTACTTACTTGTCTCCCTTGACGTCCCATGAATGTGGACCGGGGATGGCAAATAGGCTGTATGTGTGCTGCTGAAACACTGCCATCTAGGGGCAACCACTTGTAATTACACCTCACCTAGACCTGCATGCACAGGCTGTGTAATAGGTATACACTTTCTAAGCAAAGCCTGGAATAGGTATGTAAGGCTAACACAATTGCAAAGTGGCATTTAGGTAGAAGTATGTTTATTGAAGAAAAAAATCTGGAGCAGACAGATTTCAGGTTTTATTTCTGTTCACTGAAAGAACCAGTTTCACCAAACAAGCTTTAAAGGAAGAGGAACTAATTCATTTTGTCAGTTACAATTTATAAAAGGCTCCAAGATTAACTAAATACAACTATTACAATACAATTTAAGAAATGCCCTTTAAAAACTCTTAAATAACCCTAGTAGCAGCAAAAATGTCACACATGTGTACACTAGTATGTTACCATGTGTAAACACGTATTAGTAACAATATACTTAATAACAAAAATTATGCATTTTAAAAATTTTAAATATGTACATATATGTATATAATAAAGAGAAATCTGGGCCATATTTTTTCATAAATATACAATTCCTGATACCAAAAACAAAGTGACAATAATACACACAAATGCATTTTATCATAAGGCATGTTGAACGACGGTTGACAATACTCAAGGGGCATCACGTTGCTGCAGAGGGCAAACTTTCCAAAAGTCTCCGCCAAGTAGTGATCCTTGCACACCGAGGGCACCGGGATGACTGGAAGCACTGTTTGTGAAAGCAAGCCCTGCATGCTGCAAGCAAGGAGATCAGCTGTCAGACAACACACCATCTTGTTTTCTCGTATATGAATGATGCTCATTCCCATCCCAGGGAGGCAGGGATCCAAATCAGAACCCAGAGTCTTGCAAAAAGTAATCAGCCAGGTTAAAACTCACAGGTGTTATAAATTACCTGACAAGTCATGAACATGATGCTCGCAGAGTCTAAAGAACATAGAAGATGCCACACAGTGTCCCCAGATCTGCCCAAACATGTGGCAGGGGTTCCCCAGCCTTTGAGAGAATTGGTGGCTGAGAACCCTTGGGAGGTGGCACTGCTTCTCTGGAAATGGCCCTAAATGGAGAGAGCTGCTTCATTCAACATCATGCCCCCTTCTTGGCAACAGCCTGCATCCAGTGACTGGTCACTGTGGAGTGTCTGACCCAGCAAGCTCTCTGTCCCCAAGTCGGGACAATGATGAAAGGCCACCCAGGCTCCAGAGTTCCCCCACTGGATGGGCTTGAGACTTGAGTGCAACCACAGAACAGGTGAACTTTTCCCCCTTTCTGATCCTGTTGGCTTCATGTCCCCCACAGAGATATTCTGAATGGAAATTTCTGCCTCTCTTGATGGGAAACCTGTCCTGCAGGCCTGCAACACTGCTTAAAGGGTAAGGGGAGACAACCCTGGGATGGCCTAAGTGGAGAATGTACCCATAAAAAGGGACATGTTACTAAAATCTCTCTTGATAAAACCCATAAAAAGGGACATGTTACTAAAATCTCTCTTGATAAAACATGAATCCAGAGTACAGGATTCCCTTGGGCACTGATATCCTAGAATAAACACCAGCAACCTTTTCTGTAAAGAACCCCAGAGTAAAGGTTTTAGGCCTGGGGGGCCACATGGCCTCTATAACAGCTCCTCAACTCCACCAAAGTAGCACAAAAGGAGCAGGAGATAACAATTCATGATCCAATTACAAAACAGGGCAAGCCCAGGCAAAAGCAGGAACATCTCCTCTATCCAAAACCCCAGCAGACCTCATCCTTTATCCCTGCTCCACCAAATATTCCTCCCCATGGACCCCAAACTGGGTCATCTCCAACCCACCACACAACCACACTGAACTTTTAAGAAAAACCTGTGCCCAAGTTATTAAGCTATTATGCAGCTGAAGTTAACTCTGTGATTAAGTCATTAAACTTAACTTTGGAACTAAGCTAAGCGATTACTATGTTTCTGCTAGTTATTAAAAATACCTGAACATCTTCTACAAGTTGCCGTCTGAAATGGGAAGATGACAGTTGCACTCCGGCAAAATTCACAAATGAAGCCCTTTCCCTGACAGAGCTGTAAAAGAAAGCATCAGAAAGTCAGAAACTGGAAATGCTTCTCTTGATACAGAAACTGAGTTACCAATTTTACAGAACTTGATAATCATCAATTTTTGAATATCTATGATTTTAGCTTCTAAAAAAACTGGATAAGAACAATAACAAAAAAAGGCACATATATCCATTTCTCACCAAGACAGTTTGAAGCACAGAAAGATCATGATTTTAAGCTTTCTGTTTATTTGTCTCTCTTTTTGAGACAGGCTCTTGCTAGCTGCCCAGGATGGCCTGGAACTCCTGGGTGCAAGGGATCTTCCTGCCTCAGCTGGGACTATAGATGCGTGCCACCACACCGGACTCTCAACTTGTGTTCTTAAATGATGGAATTTCATTTCCATGCTACACTGCAATCTTCCAGTTCATGCAGACACAGGGCTTCCTGTTCTGTTACATTGGAGTCCATGTGGCTATTTCAAGAGGACTGGAATCAAGCATCTCCAGCACCCAGACTAAGTCCCAGGGCCCTGGCTTGCAGCCCAGCTCTCACAGTAATCAGCAGGATGATTTGGGTCCATTAATTCGAAGCTCTGAACATCAGTCTCCTCATCTGTAAATGGTGTCGCTGGCACTACAATCAGGGTTTGTGGGAGTTACTGGTCTCATGTAAAAAGCACGCTGCACAGGCCCTGGCTAGGGGACAGGTCAGGGACCCACCCGCTCCCAGCAAACCCTCACCTCACAGCTGGCCACATGTGCAAGGGCTGCTTTCAGAATGTCCTTGAGTAAGGGTGCCAGCAGCCCTCTCTTGGTCCTGAGGAGGTCCTCCAGGGAGAACACGTGGAGGACTTCAGTCAAGTGTCTGGGAACCTGCTCAAACTCCTTTAATGCACTGTCAGAGAGAAAGCAGAGGGATTCAGAAAGACACCCACACAGTACACAGGGGTGGGAAGGACAGGGCAGATGCTTTCTCTTGGCACTCAACATTAATATTTTTAAATCAATAAAAAAAATACCTACGAGAACACCAGTGAATCTTGTGTACCACTCTACTTATTGCAAGTGTGCTTAGATGCCAGGAAGAAAATGAAATTCCACAAAACGTGATTCCAAGAATGTGCAGAGAAATGTAACTCGGGCAGGCTGCCCCAACCCTCCTTGCACAGAGAAAACAGAACACTTTTCTTTTTTGTTTTTGTTTTGTTTGGTAGTGGGATTGAACCCAGGGTTGCTCCACCACTGAGCTACATCCCCAACCTTTTATATTTTTTATAATATTAAAAATATACTTGTGATCCTCCTGACTCTGCCTATAGGATTACAGGCGTGAGTCACTGCACCCAGTGGAACATTTGATTTTCAACTCTTAAAAATGTGTACCAATTCCCCCATCTTTCCTGCCCCCATACCCACTTCCTTCCTTTTCCTCCCCTTTACCCAATGAAAGTTCCTGTTTTTCTCATGTCCCCCTCACCCTCATTATGGATCAGCATCCATTTATCAGAGAGAATACTCAGCCTTTGTTTTTTGGGGATTGGCTTAATTTGCTTAGCATTATATTCTCCAACTCCATCCTGCAAATGCGATAATTTTATTCTCTTTCAGTGCTGAGTAATATTCCATTGTGAATATATACCAGTTTCTTTATCCATTCATCTATTGAAGAGCATCTAGACTGCACATATGGTGCAATACTACATCGTGTACAACCAGAGAAATGAAAAGTTGTTCTGCAATTGTGTTCAATGAATAAAAGTGAATTCTGCTATCATATACCTAATTAAAATAATTAATTTTAAAAAAAAGAAAATGAATTTAAAAAAAATAGGAATAGTCACTTAAAAAACCATTGAAAGTGCTCTGGGAGCAAGAGTCAATGAGAACCTCTTTACTTTCAGGAAATTGAGTATAGACACTGCCCATAATCTCCATTGCTGTCTGCAGGAAAAAAAGGTGATTAGAGAAAGTTTATATAGAACCTACTGAAAACTTTCCCTCTTTCTCTGCCCACATCTTACTTTAAAAAATTAGTAATAAACATTTATTTAATAAAAAAATATGTACCTAGTACCATTTGATTATCATGAAATCAAAATGACACCCTGTTCATTCCAACTTAATTTCAAGGGTATCAGTGCCAGTGACTGTTGTGACAGCTAGCAAGAGAATTACTGCTCACAAACAGGTATGTGACTCTAAATCTGTAAGTCCAGCACTGGGCTGAAGACTAAGGCATCCGAGTGCCAGCAGTCAGGGATACCTGAGTAACCACAGGCATCTAAACCTTACCCTGGTCTCCTTCTGAATATCCTAAAACAGTTACTGGTAGCCTGTGCTAGACCTGGCACTCCACAAAGTCATATTGGCTTAATTCTCCATCCAGCATGGGACACTTACTCATGCTGCACCCTCTGGTGGAGGTTCCAGATTCCTCTTCTTGATTCCAACCTACCCTTCAGGCTCAGGCTTTTCCCCCAGGAAGCCTTCTCTACTCCCAACCCCACCTCATCCCTAAGTGTGCTCCATACCGCCTCTTCTGTACCCTCATGGTAACATGAAGTCTGACATGTGTAACATGAAGTCTGACCATGAGCTGTCTGACTTTCCCCCTGCACTTAACGTATATTTGCTAACTTTTTAAATTTGAAGCACAGAATGGTTATTTCACAAGATTTTGTAGAAGGGAGGATGTGTGGGTTTTACCACATGTCATGGATGAGGAAAATGGAGACCCTGAGAAGCACTAACCTGTCAGGCCCATGATACCAGACGGGGCTCAGGGGCCAATGACTACTGACACAGATACATGGTCCTTCCTAGGAAATTAAACCCAAAAGCAACGTATCACCATGATGAAAGATATAAATCTAAACAAAACATTCTAAAAGCCTATGACCTCATTTATTATAATGAACATCTTAACCCCCTTAAGTCACTGACTCTTCTTCCACTTAAAAATCAATTATGTTCCTATACATCAGTAATGAATCAACTAAAGGAAAAACTAGGAAAACTATCCCATTCACAATAGCCTCAAAAAAAATAATTGGGAATCCAACAACAGAGGTGAAAGACCTCTACAATGAAAACTACAGAGAGAAATTGAAGACCTTAAAAGATCTCCCATAGGCAGAATTACTATTGTCAAAATGGACATACTACCAAGAGCCCAACACAGATTCAATGCAGTTCCTATTAAAATTCCAATGACATTTTTCATGTAAATAGAAAAGGCAGTCATGAAATTCACTTGGAAAAATAAGAGGCCCAGAGTAGCCAAAGTAATCCTCAGTGAGAAAAGCAAAGCAGAAGGCATCACAATACTTTGAAGTTAAATTATACTATAGAGCTAGCATAACAAAAACAGCATAGTACTGCACCAAAATGGTACAGAAGAGAAACCCATATAAATACAGTTATCTCATACTAGACAAAAGCACCATAAACATACCTTAGAGAAAAGACAGCCTCTTCAACAAATGGTGCTGGGAAAACTAGAAATCCATATGCAACAAACTGAAATTAGACCCCTATCACTCACCCAAATCAAAGTGGACCAGAAGAGACCCTGTGCCTACTCAAAGAATAAGTAGGCCCAACTCTCTATCATGTCGGCTTTGGAACTGAATTCCTCAATAAGACTTCTAAAGTTCAAGAAGCAATCAATAAATTGGATGTATAAAACTAAAAAGCTTCTTCACAGCAAAGGAAACAATCAAAAAATGTAAACAGAGTGCCTACAGAATGGGAGAAAATCTTTGCCATCTGCACCTTAGATAGAGCATTAAATTCCAGAGTATACAGAGAACTCAAAAAAAAAACATAACACCAAAATAAAAACAACAACAACAAAAAACGAACAAACAAATAATTCAATCAATAAATTGCCACAGTCTGGCTGGGCACAAAATAACCAAGCCACCACACCCCTTGTAGATTCAAACAGCAACTCTTTATTCCCGACTCTCACCCGCACTCTACACACACGTTCTGGGAAAATTCACCCTCCACCGGGCTCTGCGTCCCAAAATACTCTCAGAACTCAACAGGAACTCAAGGAGCAGGCGCCTGAGGCAGCAGGATCCGCCATATTCCCAGCAGGATCCACCCTAAACCTGGAACCACCCTAATCCAGCAGGATCCACACTAAACCTGGAGCCACCCTAATCCAGCAGGATCTACACTAAACCTGGAGCCACCCTAATCCAGCAGGATCCACCCTAAACCTGGAGCCACCCTAATCCCTGAGCAGGGTCACCTTTCAATTAAAAATGCCATGTCATTCCTACTTGGCTAAGGCTCTCAGCAATAAATGGGCAAAGAAACTGAACAGGCACTTCAAAGAAGAAATATGATCAGTCCACAAATGTATGAAAAAATGTTCAACTTGTCTAGCAATGAGAGAAATGCAAATTAAAACTATACTGAGATTCCACCTCACTCCAGTCAGAATGACAATTATCAAGAATACAAGCAACAATAAATGTTGGTGAGGATGTGGGGGAAAGGTACACTGTTACATTGCTGCTGGAACTGCAAATTGGTGCAACCATTCTGGAAAGCAGTGTGGAGATCCCTCACCAATCTTGGAATGGAACCGCCCTTTAACTTAATTATCCCACGCCTCAACATATACACAAAGGACAGTGTGACATGGCCACATCAATGTTTATAGCTGCTCAATTCACAATAGCTAAGCTATGGAACCAACCTAGGTGTTCTTCAACAGATGAATGGGTAAAAAAAAGTAATACACACACACACACACACACACACCACTCACACACATAATAGAATATTAATCAGCCATAAAAAGAATAAAATTATGGCATTTGCAGGAAAATGGATGGAACTGGAGACTCTCATGCTAAGTGAAATAAGCCAATCTCAAAAAAATCAAAGGCTGAATGTTCTCACTGATACGATAACTGGGGGGAGGGAAGAATAGAAGTTCACTGGATTAGACAAAGAAGAATAAAGGGAGGGGTGGGGCAATGGAAATAGGAAAGACAGTAGAATGAATCAGATAAAACTTTCCTATGTTCACATATGAACATATGGTCAGTGTAACTCCACATCATGTACAACCACAAGAATGGGAAGTAATGTTCCATGTATGTATAATATGTCAAAATACACTATACTATCATGTATAGCTAAAAATAAAAATTAAAAAAAAAATCTCTCAATGAATTCACATCTAAATTTTTACTGACTGGCAGTCCATCCTATGCATGTAGTATCAATTTAAGTACCATCCATCCTGTTAGTAAACACCTGCTAGATTTTAAACATGATTTCTTATTTTAAAAACTACATTTTAGCTAAATCTCTGTTCATATCACAAGTTTATCCTTAAGATAAGCTTCTAAAGTAGAGTCAGAGGTCTGTGATCTCGCCCAGGTTTGACAGGCCTCCTGCCTCTCCTTTCTGAGGAACTGAACAGGCCCCTTGCTCATAGCAGCATTATTCATAAAGCAGCGAAGCAACCCAAGTGTCCTTCAGTGGATGGATATAGGCCCACAGGAATACTGTCCAGCCTTATAAAAGAAGGAAATTCTTTTTTTAAAACCTTTATTTTATTTATTTATTTTTCATGTGGTGCTGAGGATGGAACCCAGTGCCTCATACATGCTAGCACAGAAGGAAATTCTGACACATGAATCAACATGGATGAATTCTTGAGGACATTTTATTATGTGAAATAAGCCACAAAAAGACAAACACTATCAGATTCCACTTGTATGAGGCACTGAGAGTAGTCACTACTCATAGAAGTGTAAAGTAGAAAGGTATTTTCTAGGGGACAGGGAAGGAAACAGGCAGGTATGTTGAACATATACGTAATTTCCAGTTTGCAAGAGGAAAAGAGTCCTGCAGATGGACAGTGGTGATGAGAGAACAGCAATGTAAATGGACTGAGCACCACTGAACTGCCTCTAACATGATTGAGATGGTAAATTTGAGGGCTGGGGTTGTGGCTCAGTGTAGAGTCTCACCTAGAATGTGTGAGGCCCTGGGTTCAATCCTCAGCACCACATAAAGATAAATAAATATATTGTGTCCGTCTACCACTAAAAAGAATATTTTTTAAAAAAGATGGTAAATTTGCGGCCATACATATTCACTACAATTTATTAATAACAACTAAAAAGCCATTAGCTAGAGTTGTTTCATCCTTATCCTGGCCCATTCTTCTTACTCCACCAGTGATTTAGCAATTCTGAGAGGTGGTCTGCATTCCCAAGGACAGCCATGAGGTAATCACCATGTTAAGAAGCCCTGTGAACTGGGGAGCAAGTTCCCAGAGGCACTCAGAGGATCAGCCGCTGGAGGAGGGAACATGGACTGTCTCAGTCAAGAATCATACCTGGCAGCAAACCTGCAGGTCTTCAATAGCTTCTTGATATGAAAAAGCTGCTCCTGGATGTCCTAAGGTGAGAAACCAAACAGGGAAATTTAAATATTTAAATAACAATCAATAACATTGGCAATGTACATGTCAAAGTGAAATGCTACTTCTCACCACCATGGACTGCCACCCCTGGAGAAAACAAACCTTTAAAGCAAACAGCCTCTAGAGCAGGGGTTCAGAACTGAATCCACAGATCCACAGAGGGTCCTGGATGGATCCAGGTATTGTGGAGCCTGAAGCTTTACACAACTTTGGGACTTTCTTCAAGAAAAACACATACTTATATTTAGTAGGGGCCTTGGAAAGGAGTCTGTGTAAGTGAGGGCCCCAAAGGTCAAACTTCATTTACATCACAGTCCATCTGCCTTTCAGAAGGTCTGCATGGGATGCCCTAAAACTAGAGTGAGGTACATTTCCTGCCCTGGGACACTTAGCTGAACTCACTTCCCCTGCAGAGGCACCTGCTCACCTTTACCCTGTCCAGTTCCTTGACTTTCGCATAGAGGTTCTGGCCGATGCTCAGCAGATTGAATATGGGTTGGTGCCATATGCTATCCAGGAGCTTTTTGGAGAAATTGCTGACGTGGTACTTCCTGAAGTCCCACATCATCAGGATCCGTGCAGGGATGCAGGACTCTGCATACGAGTAGCAGCAGTCACAGAAATACTTCCCCAGATATTCACAGTACCGGAGCCGCTTCACAAACTCTGCCAAGCACATCAGAGACTGAGTGTCACACACCTAAGGCTGGAAATCAACCCAGAGCTGCCCACCACCACCAATTCCTATGCAAGGTTCAAAGACTTCAATGGCTGTTTTTAAGATGGTAAAGTCATACATGACCTCATGACAGCTGGAAAAACACTGGCAGGACTTGGGAATTTACACTGTAGACACTTACAAGCTTTGCTACAGGGGATAGATGCTGGAAAATTAGAACCCTCCCTAAATACTCCTGGGTTTGGAAGATGGATAAAGCAAACTGCAATGTAACAAAAAGAGCATTCCATTTAGGATCTTAAATCTGGCTGGGAGCACGGACTCCACTTGTCACTAACAGGAAAACCTAAGACAGCTCAGAATCTCTTCAGGCCAACTTTCCTGAAACCACAAAATGCAACTCAGAACTGGATTCAATATCACATACAGGAAGAGTGCTTTGTAAATACCAAAGCAGTGCATACACAATACTAGGAAGCAGCATGCAAAAGAGTTCCCTGACATGTCAAAGAGAAAAATACGAAAATGAACAAAGGATGGGAACAGGTCCTACATGGAAAGCAAAGCAATAACCAAAAGAGACGTAAAAAACAATCTTCATAAGAGTCAGGGAAATGCGTATTAAAGCAGTGAGATACTCTGTTCTCCTCCATAGTGTCACACATCTAGACGACTTAGAACAGGTGAGGTGTCCAGGGGCAGGCACTCACCCTGGCTACTGAGGGAATATCCTTTTAGGAGCACACTGCTGGGACATGCTTCAGTGTTGCGTGTGCAGCAGTAATCCCAACTCCGTGATTCCATCAGACAAATGGCAACAGGCACATGGACACACACAAAGGTACTCACTAAAGTACCTCCAAGATGGGGTCGGGGGAGCAGCAACCAAAGTGTGCATCAAAAGGCAACTTGTTCCGAAAGTGCAGCACTCTCAGTGTAAAGTGCAGTGCTTCAGCATGAAGTGCTACACCCCAGAGGGCGAGGGGGAGGTTGTGGGGAGGCACACCCCAGTTACAGGTAGACATAATATGATGTCAATCTTGTTTTTAAAAATACATACATACATAGTCTAGATGCCACCAAGAGCCAATAGTGAATATTTCTGGAAAGTGGGTGAAAATGATTGGTGCTCTTCATACTTTTTAATTTGCAAACATGAATCGGCACTATTTTAGGAAACCTCCCTAATAAAATATATCAATAAATGAAAGGCATAAACATAAAGGTGACAAATATCCCTGCACTTACCACTAGAAGGAAAATGATCCACCTGGAGTCTCCCAGGTACCCCTCCCTCAACACTAGGATCTAAAATGAGCCAGGTTTGAAAGCTGGATATTTATCATCCTTGGTTTGACTCATGTGCCTTTCTAACTAACATGCCTGGGAGAGGTGTAATATCACCAGTTGACATATTCAGTGACGTACACTGTGGGAATTAATGAAATAATGGTTGGGAACGCAGCTACTATAGGACCAGCACACTGCAGATTCTGAATAAGGTTTCCAAAGAATGGCTTGAAAACTATACAAGGCCTGAGTGGCCATGGGAGCAACCTTTCTCCAGTACCTCCTCTGTGCCACACACTGCTTACATGTCAGACATATGCTATATCAGACTCGAAACTGTGTGAGGTAGGGGATATTATTTCCTTATTTCATTGATGAAAACACAAGTAATGGGAGTCAAGTCAAGGCAGGGGCATGCAAGCAGGAAGAAGACAAGCAGGATTCTAATCCAGGCCTGGGCTGGCAGAGGTCCAGCTATGGCTGTCAAGCCCTGCACCTCCTCTGCTGCACTTGGTGGAGGGAAGGGGAGGAGCTGATGCCTCTGTTTCTGCCCAAATTATCCCTCAGGCCCAGGTTACACTCAGAGCTGATTTTTAAAAGCACACTAACACAGCGGGTTCTCACCGTTTGCACTCCTTATGCTCCATAAGGTGCCATGAACGCTGAATTAGCCAATGCTGAACCACTGCTCCTGGGGAAGACAGGGCCAGGAACCTACCAGCATCCCCTAATGACGCTTCCAGCAACTGATCAATTTACAACTTTATTTCATGTATATTTCTGTTTAAAAGCACCCTAATTAATATATTTTGTTGGTTTATGACATTGAATTCAAATCCAAAAGCACTATAAACCATATTTTCTCCATAAGAACAGTCATAACCTTATTGTGCTTAGGGACACTATTTAGCACCTCAGCACTATGCTCAGGGGTCATTTTAAACAGTGAAATCACCACCAACAACAACAACAACAAAAAATCAGAGAAATCCTACAAACATGGCAGGAAATAAACTATAAAAGGTATCTTTTGGCCTCTATACTCTACATTCCTGATTAAACTTGGCAAGACTGGAGGAGAAAGAAGGAAACAAGGGGCCAATAAATCTTCCTGATGGACTTCATCTTCCCCTAACATCTAAAACCCCTAACGTCTCAACATCTGTTCACTCATTCATCAAACTTCACTGAATACATAACAAGTGTTATGCTACCTATACAGAATAAATTATGCTCATCTCTTCTGGTTTCCTAAGACCCTTAATTAAAACAGAACAAAGTGTCCTAACCTAGTGGCTCTCAGCCCTCAAAGAACATTTGGAAATAGCTGGAGACATTTTTAGTTGTCACTACTGGGGGATTCCTACTGGCAACTGATGCTGCTAAATATCCTACAAGGCACAGGACATCCCCCACAACAAAGGCAACAGCACTAACTTAGAGAAATCCTGCTCTAAGCAGAAATTGTTCTTCTGTGAAAAGTTAATGAAGTATTCTAAAACAGTGTTGTCCAAATAGAACTTTCTGGAAATGTTTTATATCTGTGCTTTCCAACACAGTAGCCATGTGTTACATATGATAGTTTTTGTATTTTTCATTTATCGCACAAGTTAATTAATTAATCATTTAATTTAATCATAGCCACATGAGCAAGTGGCTATCATATTGTATAGAGAAGTTATAGAATGCATCCAACTTAAGAGATAACTAAATGCATGGTATGAAATTCAACTGGAATCCACATAAAATAATAAGCTATAATTGATATCTTAAGAGCAGCAAATGAAAATGGACTACTAGCAGACAATATTGAATTTTATTTATTTATTTATTTATTTTGGTGTGCTGTTTGTCATCCTCATTTTTAGGATATGCTTAGTAGTAAAGGGTGAAATGTCAGGTTCACAGTGTGAGATTAAAAGCGACTAAGAATAACTAAATTCTATGTGAAATTCCGAATTGGCTTATGGAAAAAATAAAGGACAGTGGTTAAAAAAAACTGAAAAAAAATCTATAAAGTCTATAATTAGTGGTATTGCACCAACGCTAATGTCTCAGATTTACTAATTTTACTGTGATTACATAAGATGTTGACATTGGGGGAAGCTCGGAGAAAGGGATTTGGGAACTGACTGTACTATTTTTGCAATAATTCTTTTAAGTCTAAAATTATCTCCGAATACAAAGTTTAAAAAGTTATCCCAAGAGCTAAAGGAAGTTTACAGGAAAAGCCCAAAATGGTTAACACGTCATGAACAACTACGCCCATAGTTGTTAAGGTCCTGCACGATCTGTGCTCCAGCATGCACTCTCTCTCTTTCTCACTCTCCAGTGCTGCCACACACACTCTGCACATGATGAGCACCCACCTTTACAGGACAATCCGTTTCTTACAAAACCTCTCACTCCTAGTAGCCCTGCCTCAAGAGCAGATTAAGTTCCCTTGCTGTAATGGAGTTTTACTCAGCCACAAAGAAGAATGAAATGATGTCTTTTGCAGGAAAATGGATGGAACTTGAGACCATTAGGTTAAGGAAAATAAGCCAAACTCAGAAAGTCAAGAGTCATTGTGTTTTCTTTCATATGTGGAGGCTAAAGAGGAAAAAGGAAAAGAAAGGTGAGGGCTGGGGACATTACTTAAAATCAAAGGGAGATCAGTAGAGGACAGGAAAGATACTAGGAGGAGGCAGGAAGGGAGAGAAAGGAGAAACACTGGGGAGTGACATTGGCCAAATTACATTGTTGTATCATGTGCATGTACAAATACATAACAATGAATCTTACCATTATGTACAATTAAGAACTGTGAGAAAAAAGTTGCTTGCTATAAACCACATAATACTTTCACCTTTCTCTTTCCTTACATACAACACCCTTGGTTTTATTTGCATGGTTGATGATTTATGTGGACTCCACAAAGGCAAGACCATGTTTAAAATTCACCACAGTGCCAATTCTGTAGACACGCAGCTCCATGTTTAAACAAACTCAGGAAGTTCTTAAGAAGTTAGTGGGATTCACAGTCACATGTCTATAGTTTCTGACTCATGAATCTGATATTTACTGAAGCACCAGGACACAGTGGGGAACCAACAGACTAACTGAGTAAATGAGTCAGTTAAAGAAAACTGGTTCTAACTACGATGCCTGTCATCCAATACAGTAGAGGAAGTCCAGACAGACTTCTGCTTTCTATTTTTATCTATTTTTATCTAGAGCACATGACAGAAGTGAAAGGAATTCCCAGTCCCAAGTGGGAAACTTGCTGGGGAAGCTGGCTTCTTAGGCCTCAGCCCAGAAATGATCCCGGCAGGCTACCTCCTCCAACTCTCTCTGAAAAAGCTGCCCAGTTCCCAGACTAGCCATTCATTCTCTCAACAAATAACCTTTGAGGACCAGCTATGAGCCCAGCACTCTTCTAGGAGTAGATGATAAAACAATGAACAAAACCAGTAACATATCAGCCTCCCAGTTTATAATCTAGTGATGGAGACAGTTAATGAGACAAATCAGTGAAATAAAAATTTTCTAGGAAGAACATGCTACAAATAAAACATAATGACAGCTAACACAAAGTGTTCGTGTAATTGCTTGTGGTCAGTATGGAAAGCTGGGCATTTTTCATAGTGCAGCCCTGGGAAAAACACAAGATTTTTGAGCAAAGATGTCATGGAAGTAAAGGAACCAGCCATTAAATACGTTGTGCAGGTCGGGTGGATACTGGAGGGAGAAATCCAGAGATGCAAATCCCTAAATCAAGAGTGAGCGTCCCCTTGAAAATCCGCAGGGAAGCCATGTATTTGGAGTCAAATGCTTAATGTGGAGGCAGCTAGGACTCTGATCCTTCTGGTTCCTGGTCAGTCACACAACTTTGTAGTTACTCTATCATCATGTAACAGACAAGCAATCCATTATCCACACTTACTAGGCTCTACTGGAGTTCCACAGCCAGCACAGAGAAAATTCTGGGCCACTACCACCAGCTCCCTCCTGAGGACAGAAAATGGTTATAATAACATTAACATTTCAGAGGTGGCCAATGGAACATTTTTTAACCAATGGACATCATGATGTGTTTCTTCCCTTGGGACCTTAATTTTGTCAATTATCATTTGGAAAAAAAAATGAGATTTATTCAGTACAATTTTCTAATTGAACTATCTGCATCTTTTAAAGCTTAAACCCTTTAAAACTCTATTCTGTCCCTAAAGTATAGAGGTCAGAATCACAAATTTTTACTCCACCATGGGGTCTTTAAGAACTTTTCATTGCCCGTGCACAGGAGTTTTTCTCCATATTACAGTGGAACGACACCAAAAGGTGATGTCTTTGGAAAGTTCATAAATGGATCCAAAGATATTCAATGAAAAGAGGTAATGGAAGAAATACTCCATGGAAATGTTTCCTACTGAATTGCTGTGCACAATTTCACCAAGACAAGATGGTTAAAATTGAATTGGAGTTCAAGGCCAGCAAAAATGGTGAATGCAAAAGTATGCTAAGTCTCTGCCCATCTACCTTAGAGACGATCGAGAGAATCCCTACAGAAGAGATATCCCATGCCAACAAAAGTGACCTCTCACAAGGCCTAGAGAGCCAGTGAGCTCTTCTGCCCAAGCAGCTCCAAAGACTTTCTTGCCATACTCTCTAAAGAAAAAAACAGAATGAATCTATGGGGCACTTCCTTAAGGCCAAATCAACAAGGTTCCACAGTCCCTTTATGACCCTCTGGAGTGTGCTCACCAAATTTAACACAAACCAAAAGGAGTGGAAAAATGAGTTGGTAAAAATGTCTATTCTGTAATCTTTCTCTATAAGCTGTCATGTAATCTCAGAACAAATTACAATTAAACTACTGTTAGTCTCTCTGTGTGTGTGCATTCACATGAATGCACGGTTTATTTACTTTTCTGCGTCATTTTAGATTTTAAGTCTTTTCTGACTTCTGCTATTTCTAAAAGAATGAGAATGTTTTTATTGATATTCTGCTACATTTATCAATTATAGGAGTGCTCTTCAAGATTGAATTTTCCCTTTTGAAAATGTATTAATTTTCAGTACACACTACCGGCATGGGAAATATGGAATGATCCAGTCTTTTCAAATTGTAATATTTGATTTTTTAGTCCCATTATTAACCACTTTAAAATTGCCTTAAAGCCTATTTAATTTTTAGTTGCTATGGAATACTTACAGTTAAGGATGCATAGTCACATTCTCAGTTTGTCAAAACCTACAGAGCCCCCAAAAGCCCATGATAAACAACGTGTCAGAAAAACTAAGCTAGAAAAATATGCACAACATTCCTGTTCCAAATTTCCCTGTGTCCTGAGCATACTCTTTTTTCCTTCCTCTACCTCAATAAAGAATTGGTGGAGCCAAGCATACTGGCACACGCCTATAATCCCAGTGACTAAGGAGGCTGAGGCAGGAAGGCCAGCCTCAGCAACCTAGTGAGGCCCTAAGCAAATTAATGAGACCCTGTCTCAAAAAATAAAAAGAGCTAGGGATGTGGCTCAGTGGCTAAGTGCCCCAAATGTAATCCCTGATATCAAAAGAAGAAAAAAGAATAAAGAATCAGTAGGTTCCATCACCACCTGTTTTCTTTCAATGGACTGGGATCCAGGCAGTAGTCTATACTTACTTGAGTGGTGGATGAAGATCAAGTATGATCTGAAATCTAGGGGGAGCCCAGTCTTCAGTCCCTCTGATCCTAGACTTAAATTGAATGTCCTGTACTATATCCACACTGGATTCAAAGTCTTTTCGGACATTTTCTTCATTTGCAACCTGCATATCACATAAGAGGATTTAGGAAAACCATAATACTTTAAGAGTTTAAATAAAGAGCATTCAAATGTGTTTTCTATCTTAAACTGTTTTTACCTGAACCATGGCAAGGGCCCTCCACCTCCACCTCACACCCCCCCCCCCCTCCAACAGCTCCTATGAAGCTCACTTTTCTTAGTAGTATTTTTAGTTTGTTTCCAGACTTTGAATTTTCAGCAAGTAGGTCATTTTGACCTGGAAAATTTTTCAGAAGACTCCCTCTGTCAGTCAACAGACTGGGAAGCAGTGCCTATGAGCACCGTCTTGTGGTGTGTCTCCCTAGAAACAGCTCTGTTCAAGTGCTCCTGGACGAATACTTGCCGATCAGCCTTCCCAGTTTCCCTGATAAAATTAAACTCTCCCTCCCCAACACTCCCAGAGTGCTTTCTCCCAACTCTTATTTTAGCCTTTGTCACAAGTCCTCCACCCCCACCCTGCTGCATGCTCAGAGGGTGCTGTGTGCTATGTGCTACAAAGAAACCAGCCTGTACTTTCAAATGAGGCAGCTGGGGCAGGACTCCTGCTTGACCACTGACCAGCCCAGCTGAGGTCTCTCTAGGCCCAGCACTTTAAAATAACAAAGATAAGAGCATTCTCCTGATAAGATACATGGGATTAAAATGTGACTCACAAGGCACAGTCCCTGATACACAACAAGCACCCAATACATGCTGGTTTCAAGTCTCCCCCATGGGGGATACCATACAAGAAAGCATAAATATTGGAAGTGAATGGGCTAGGTAAACAGAGAATTTAGGAACTTTTGACTCAAGGTCAATTTATTTTAATACTTACTCCTGAATCACTTGCATTCAGGGAATCTGCCAGCTGATACTTAACTGCTGACGATACCCAGCACTTCTGGAATACTTGGTACAACTCTTTGGCTAACAACTCGGGAGAATTGAAGTCTGCCTCATGAGAAACACTGAAATATAAGAGATGTAAAAATTGGAAAACTATATACATGAGGCATGGGCTCAGACTCTTCCTCAGGTTTCCAACTGTTTTTTCTACCCCCAACTCAGAGGAGGTTGTTGGGTGAAACCAGTATCAGTCACTGGCTGGTATCTTAAGCAATACAGTTCGTTCATAGTATACGTGCCTAAGACTTGAAGGTGAAAAAAGCACTAACTTTCAAGTCATAAGGCCTGAGCACAAGCCCTACTTCTGCTATGTAACAGCACTGTAACCTGAGGCACATCCTATAGGGGCCTTAACTTCTAGGTCTATAAAATGAGGTTTAAAAATAAATACACACATGGAAACTTGACAGGCCTGCTCATGAGGATTAAATGAGAATGTATACAAAAACCTTTTAAGTGCTATAAAGCCTTTGGGGCTGCTATGACTTGAATATATACAGCATTCTCCAAAGGCCCATATGTTAAGGGCTTGGTCCCCGGGGTGGCACTATTATCCCCTGAGGCAGTGGAACTTTTGGGAGATGGGGCCTAGTGAGAGGTTCTTAGGTCACTGGAGGAGTGCCCTCAGAAGGGAGTGGGACCCTGCTTCCTGGCTTAAGATGTGAATGTTCTCTCTGACATACACTTCCACCATGTTGTCCCTCCAACCACCATCCTCACCAGAGGACTGTGCAGCTACCATGCCTCTGAACCTCTCAAATTGTAAGCTAAATAAAACTTTTCTAAGTTAGTTGACTTGGTTATTGTTGAGTAACACAAAGCCCCTAACTGGGGTAGGGGACAGGGCTGACTGACTGATTTAGGTGGTAATCCCCATCTTTGAGCTGGCTCAACCCTGTTTAAGACCTAACGTCCACAGTACCTCCAAGGTACCCACCCAGGGGCCTAAGTGCACATGGAGGACAATTACCTCTTACAGGACCTGTAGGAACAGCTACAAGTTTCTCTGATATCATTAAACTCTCCAACTTCTGTGGGAAAATAAAAGAAAGAGCAGTGAGATTTTTCAGTCTATTTCACTTAATCATAATCAATTTTTTTTTATTGGTTGTTCAAAACATTACAAAACTCTTGACATATCATATTTCACACATTAGATTCAAGTGGGTTATGAACTCCCATTTTTACCCCAAATACAGATTGCAGAATCACATCGGTTACACATCCACATTTTTACATAATGCCATATTAGTAACTGTTGTATTCTGCTACCTTTCCTATCCTCTACTATTCCCCTTCCCCTCTCCTCCCATCTTCTCTCTCTACCCCATCTACTGTAATTCATTTCTCTCCTTGTTTTTTTTCCATTCCCCTCACAACCTCTTATATGTAATTTTGTGAAACAATGAGGGTCTCCTTCTATTTCCATGCAATTTCCCTTTTCTCTCCCTTTCCCTCCCACCTCATGTCTCTGTTTAATGTTAGTCTTTTCCTCCTGCTCTTCCTCCCTGCTCTGTTCTTAGTTGCTCTCCTTATATCAAAGAAGACATTTGGCATTTGTTTTTTAGGGATTGGCTAGCTTCACTTAGCATAATCTGCTTTAATGCCATCCATTTCCCTGCAAATTCCATGATTTTGTCATTTTTTAGTGCTGCGTAATATTCCATTGTGTATAAATGCCACATTTTTTTTAATCCATTCATCTATTGAAGATGGGCATCTGGGTTGGTTCCACAGTCTAGCTATTGTGAATTGTGCTTCTATGAACATCGATGTGGCAGTATCCCTGTAGTACGCTCTTTTAAGGTCTTCAGGGAATAGTCCGAGAAGGGCAATAGCTGGGTCAAATAGTGGTTCCATTCCCAGCTTTCCCAGGAATCTCCATACTGCTTTCCAAATTGGCCGCACCAATTTGCAGTCCCACCAGCAATGTACAAGAGTACCCTTTTCCCCACATCCTCGCCAGCACTTATTGTTGTTTGACTTCATAATGGCTGCCAATTTTGTAAGAAGAACACGAAAAGAGCTCCCTGCCTCTCAGAAAAAAACAATTATTCCACATCTCCATGCCTTAGGTTCTTCTGAGTTTCTAATATGAGGCTCCAGCCTAAAGATCATAGATAGAATTTCATCTGAAATTTCACCAGAATATAATTGAGAGGTCAAACAGATATTTGGTCCTAATGAATATCTGCTTTTTCATTCAATTCTACAAGTGAGATGAGAGATTAGCTAGCAAGATATGTCAAGCAAAAAAAAAAAATAACTTTTTAATATCAGACACATAATTTGATCTTGATAGACATTTCTTTGCATGCCACTAAAATGGGGTACTGTGTGTATTACATGTTAGTAAGTGTGTGAAGAGGGGTGTGGGGAGGCAGCCAGTCAGAGCCAACAAGAATCCAAATCTTACCTACAATAACAAACTCATCAAGGTTGCATCTGCAGGCCTCTTGCACCACATTATAGTGAGAAGGTGTCTCGACCTTCGGGTTGACCTGTAACACAGCACAACCTAGAGAAAGAAGGCAAGGGAGATTTCACCATCAGAAGAAAAAGAAAGGTTGGGGATGTAGCTCAGTGGTAGAGAACTTTCCTAGCATAAGCAAGGCCCTTTGTTCAATCCCCTGCACTACAAAAAAAAAAAAAAAAGTGCAACCTGTAACACCCGATTTAACAGAAACTAGAAAATGAAAGGGCTAAGAGAAGAGATTACTTTAATATTTTGTTAAATTCAATTCTAGGAACAAAAAATAAAGGAAGCTACTTTTTTTATTCTTGCATTCAGTACAATTAAGTGAAATAGACTGATGGGAATGTGGGGGTTCCTAATGGTAATCTGCCTACTTTTGAGTATGTTTGAAATGTTCCTTAATATAAGGTTTTAAAAAAATGAAAGAGGATTAAAAACTGTCAGTTTCACAGTAAGGCAAACAAATTAGGAGAGGAGTCTGAGGCAGGAGTATTACAAGTTCAAAGCCAGCCTCAGCAATTTAGCGGGACCCTAAGCAACTCAGTGAGACCCTGTCTCAAAATAAAATATAAAAAAAGGGCTGGGGATGTGGCTTGGTGGTTAAGCACCCTTGGGGTGAATCCCCAGTATCCAAAACAACAACCACCACAACAACAAAATCTGCCAGGAAGCAAACATAGGGGAAAAAAATTGGACTGAAGAAGGCAGAATTCAAATTTAGGAAATGCTATGAAAGTAGCAAATGCTCACATCAGCTGCCAGCTTTGGTGTCCTCTCCTCCTGGGAGAACCCCTGGCCCCAACACGAGGCAAATGCTCCTACTTGGAGGCCCACTGTGTCCTCCCTTCTGCCGCAGCAGCATGTGAGCTCCCGCAGGAAAACACAGCACCCTGTGTACAGCTCACCCTCAGCACCCGCCAAGCACATCACAAGCTCACTGTTTGCTCAGTGAAGGACAGAGAAATACTTGGAAAAGGGACAAGTATATAGAAAAGGCTAGGACATCTTTTTGTGTGTATGTGTGTGTGGAAAAAAAGAAGATGACAACTACAAAGGGCATCAGCCACTGGGAAAAAAAAATGTAGAAAGAAGTCTGAGAAAAAAACAAAATAGGGCTGAGGATATAGCTCAGTTGGTAGAGTGCTTGCCTTGCATGCAGAAGGCCCTGGGTTCAATCCCCAGTACAAAAAAAACAGAAAAAAAATAGGATCTGAAAATTGGATGGAGCAGAATAACCAATCCCAAGGCAAAATGGCAATGATGTAAGGCTTACATAGTTTACTCAAGAAATTTTGGACAAAAGGTCAAGAACTATGTAATGTTTTGAACAACCAACAATAAAAATTTAAAAAAAAAAAACTAAGAACTCAGGAGTTCCAAAAAAAAAAAAAAACAGGTTGAGAAGAGAAGGTTTCAGAAGAGAAGGGAGAAGAAGTGTATGGAGAACACAGTATCAAGGTTCTCACATCTGCCCAACTTGCCTTCATAGCCACTGTCAGAGGAAGTGGAAGACCCAGATTCTTGCTTTGGGTTGGTATAAATGGTCATTTCAGAGTCGACTTGGTCACTCCCAAGGGACCCACTGGCTTCTTGTATGCTCCAGCTCTCTGCCTGCTGTTGACTCACAATGTCACACTTCATTTTCTCCATAGCTGATATAATCATATCGGCAACATGAAAGTAGGCATTCTCCTGCAGAGATAAAAAAATCAATGAAAACATTCACAAGAAAAATCAACATTTTTTAATGGAGGATATATTAGATTTGAAAAATCAAAAAGCTGCATTGAAGCAAAGTTAATGTAGATAGTGTTATTTAACTAGGTGTTTTATAGGTCATCTATGGCTTATAAACCATCATCTAGAGACATACATTTACTCCACCATAGTCAACAGATGACCCAAGTTGAACTTGTTCTGATACAAAACCCTATTGTTGGAAGTGTCCCCACAACTGACATTATTCATCAAGCATGGAAATTTTCCCAGCTGAGCAGACCCTGCCTCTATACCTCTGCTGAGCACTCCTGGCATCCTCTACCTATCAAACACTGAAATGAAACCTATTTGCTATGCCTCATCCATGTAGAGTTTCCAGATTTAAATCAGAACAGCACTACTTAATGGACTAAGACTCTGGGTGGTCAGGAAGAAGCAGAAGGAGTGGGGCTGTAGCTCAGCGGTAGAGCGCTTGCCTAGGCACTAGTTTCGATCCACAGCACCACATAAAAATAAACAAAATAAAGGTATGCTGTCCATCTACAACTACAAAAGTCAATAAATAAATAAGTAAATAAACAGGAGAAGAAGAAAGCATTCACCTTTTCTATGTCAACAGGTAATACAAATGCCTCTGGGAAGACGGAATTCAAAGAAATGGCTCTTCTCCTTATTTGAACAGCACCTGCAATATAGCAAGCCATTAAAAAAGGAGAAAACAAAGTTCAAAGATTATCTAAGAAAACAAAACAATCCTAGGGTTTATTTTTTAAGTACTGCAGATAGATAGATAAAATATAACCTAGTACAATTGTAAAATAAATGGGGACGGCAGCATAAGAACTCTTCTGATGGTAGGACTTGCAGATATTGCCTTAATGGGAGGCGACTGGAGTAACTGGTAGAATCCTCAGAGACAGCACAGGAGAATGCCTGGAGTGGAGAACAATGAGACAAAGAGGGTAGAAAGAGGAGAGGAGACACAAGGTGGAGAAAGTGAGGAGAAACACTCCAGAAGCAGGCTGTGAGAATTATGGGTTCACATCTTTGACTTATTGCAATTGACCCTAAACTTCCTGTTACATACACAAAATCATCTGAAAAAGATCAGCATTGCTTCTCTAAAATAGTCTTCCTCCAGGTAAAACCAAGAAGAAAGTGCAGAAGTTACCTTCTGCTGAATCATCCGTCCCTGCACCCTTAGCCACTCCATTCCTGGCAATGACCACCTCAAACAAGCATCATTTCTGTCATGTACTTTCTTCCTGCATCATTGAAAGCAAACATTTCTGTGAGAGCCACAAGTGTTGAGTGTCCCAGCCAACCTGCTAAATTAGAATAAAAGGCTGCAAATATCCTGCTAATTATGCACTTCCACAGATGACAAACAGAGGCAAGCAGGAACACTCAAATGCCTTTCTTCATGTTCAAGCAAGAGGCCAGTGCATGGGTGGGGCCTTTGGGCTTTGGAAGGCCATCTGGGGCTGGTGAACTTCTTCAGTGAAGGACTAGGTAAATGAATGTATAGGGTTTGAGAGCCATAAGATATCTGTGGCACTGTAATAAGAAAGCAGCTATTGACAAAACAACTTTTTTTTTTTTTTAAATAAAAACAGGAAGCTAACAGGGCACGGCTGTGCACAGGTATAATCCCAGTGACTTGGGAGGGTGAGTGAGGAGTATCACAAGTTCAAGGCCAGCCTCAGCAAATAAGTGAGGCTCTAAACAACTTTGCAAGACCCTGTCCAAAATAGAAACTAAAAGGGGCTGCAAATATAGCTCAGTGGTTGAGTGCACCTGGGGGGGGGGGGGGGGGGAGGAGGAGGAGGAAGGGGGTGGGGGCGGGGAAGCGGCAGAAGAATTTAGCCCACAAGCCACAGGTGCAGACCCTACATATAGAAGCAGCAGCACAGAGAAGAATCAGAGTGGATTCCAGTTCCAGCTCTCTATTCACTAGCTATGCCTCAGCCATGCATTTTCTCATCCCTTAAACTGGGATTAACACCTGTTAGAACATTAAGATCTTGTACAAATAAAATAAAGTGGGGGATTGTTTCCTATAGCCTCAGGAAATGCTCAGGTATTTCCTGGAAAGAGAAAACTCCCTTGCTGTTATTTGAGATGCACTAGTCCTAAGAATGTCCATGTCCTGGTGATTGATGCTTGTTTTCCTCCTTGCTGCCCAATACTAAACGGAGTTAAGAACCAGGTCATCTGGATTTCTCCTTCTTAGTTCCAGAGAATGAAACCCTTTTCTAAGTTTAAGAGACTCTAAAAGCACTGAATGGTTTTTAGAGTCACTGGGAAGAATTGCTGGACAAAAGCAATGTTTGAACAAAAGGGACTGTAGCATCTCCATTTTTCTCAGGAGAAAGACAAAAATACAAGATAATTTTAAGTTGTAGAACTACCTTGTGTAGAGGGATGCAACAAATGGTTTGGGGCAGGAGTATACTAGGCCCTAAAGATCTTCTTCAGTCAGTTATACTTTGTAATTTGTCACTGTGATGTTTTGGGGAGAAAGGGCTTGCCTCCATAAGATACTCTATCAGCAACCTAAACTCTTACTTTGCAATCCCCAAATCTCTATCCTGAGAACTATCCAGGCAGGTGGGCAAAAGATAGAAAAAAGGCCTGTAATGAGAATTATTTTGCTCAAATTTGATTTTCATCTCAAAACTAGACATTGAAAAAGTATCCAAAATCTATTCTTAAGTTATGAGTGATGTGTTAAATATTGTCACCATCTTTGATTTTTCCAACATTTCCAATAGAACAAATAAACCCCGACTCTTGAGAAAGGTGGAAAATGGGTTCCTGTTAGGGAGAAATACACAAACAGGCATGCAGGCAGCAGGCAGACAAACAGGCTTTAAAATTATTTTGAAGGAAAATCCCCCACTGACTATTTGCACTAGGGTTCTAATAGAAACATAAGGCCAAGCATGAACATAATATAATGAATATTTAAAAATAAAATAAGCATTCCACACTGAGTTGAGAGTACAGTTGACTTGCAGACAATTTAATAAGCTGCAAATGACTAAGAAGAAAGCAAATACTTGATCCTACTGTTTGTTGTGACCATGCAGGTGACTATGCTGGTGATAATGTCAAAAAAGCTAATGTACCAGCTTCTGGTCAAAGTGGAAGCCCATGAGCTTTTTTCTTATAAGGAAGACAACAGACAGACTTTTGACCCAGACGAAGCAAGCATGTGAGCAGATGGGAATAAGGGAAGTCACTGACTAAATACCTTCATCAGCAGAAGCAGTCAAGTGGGAAGACTCAAAAACATCACTGTCAGTTTCAGGACATGGGGAAGAGGCCAAAATCTCAGGGCTTTTGAGCAGAGACACTCGCTGAGAAGGTGCTGGGAACAGCTCTGGCTCTTTTGTGGAGGTGAAGAAGTGACTGTTCTTTTCGCCTGAACCCTTGGAGGCCACAGAATTCTCAGACAATGAGGTCTCTGCCACGGGACCCCCAAGAGACGATGGTGAAGGGCCCAAGGGGCAGGCAGCATCCATCACAAAATGGTTCCCCCTAGTCCCCACTTTTGGCACCTGGAGGGGTAAATCCGGCATTTGCTGCTGCGCACACAGGGGGTTAATCCAGGCAGCTTTGTGCCTCGTGACCCTGATGTCTACTTGGCAAGGAGGGTGGTCAGTGTCCAGGATACTGGGTGAGCTGCCAGTGTCATGACTGATCCCTTCCCAGAGGTCCGCAGGAGAATCCCGCCGGCCTATTGACTGTGACACCATCCTTCCAGGCTTGGAGCTGGTGTGAATCAGTTCAGAACAGACAGGAGTTCTCTGATGGCTGTGGTACGCCCTGATCAGGTCTCTGAACTCACCACATGGCCAGCTGGAGGTCTGAAGAGCTCGCCTGCAATGAGCAAGAATCATTCAAGATAAGTAAGAGTTTGATCAGTTCTGATTTCATTTATTGTAAGGAGACAAAAGCCAAAAATTTAAATTTGTGCCTTGCTCTATACAACAAGGTAAATTCCTCTTGTATTTATAAGTCAAAAATAAGTACTAAAAAAATCTGCCATAAAATTCATAGCAAACCTGTAGGGCTTGACACTGGTTTGCAAAAATTTTGTAAACCATAAAAATAATTGAAGCAGCAACAAAGATCAACCAAAAAAAGTGTAAAAATAAACTCCAAATCAAAATTATTCCAATAACAAAAATAAGAAAACTACTGCTCACTTTTTTTCTTCGGTACTGGGGATTAAGCTCAAGGGCACTGAGCCACTGAGCCACATCCCCAACCCTATTTTGTATTTTATTTAGAGACAGGGTCTCAATAAGTTGATCAGTGCCTTGCTTTTGCTGAGGCCAGCTTTGAACTCATGATCCTCCTGCCTCCAGAGCCGCTGGGATCACAGACGTGTGCCACAGTGCCCAGCTTACTGCTCACTTTTAAGCTCAGTGTTTAGCTTCAGTAAATGATCTGATGACTAAAACTTAGAGAATGGCACAAATAAGAAGCCCTCCTGTCACTTTAATCACAGGTCTGGCAAACTGTTTCTTTTTACTGTTTTCCCACCGTCCTTGGCATTGTGAAGTTATAAGCAACCTTCAACAGCAAAAGTAAACTCCAGCAAAGGAAAAGCCTAGAGACAAAAGGAGTAGGTCTAGATAAGTCTAGTCCAAATGAAGGGTGGTATAGCACATGCCGAGTGGTGGGTCAATTCCAGGGCATTAAATACCAACACTACGGACATCTCCACTCCACTCCAGGCTGGCATATCTACTGCCTACTTGACATCTGTCCAGGGTGTCTCAACTCGATAAAACCGATTTACCCCTCAAAATCTGCTCCTCCCTGCTTTCCTCATCCCAGGAAACACACGCCCCACTTGTGGTTCTCCTCTCTGCTAGGTCTCCAACTGCAATCCGTCAGCTACGCTCCCACCCTCTTCTGTCACTCTTCTTCCACCTGGACATCCAGCCATACTTCCCACTGGGCTTTCCTGCTTCTCCTCTTGCCCATCCATAGCTAAAGGTATTATTTCAGAGAGATCTTACATAAATCTAAACCGGCAGCTCATTTCCCTAATTAAAATTCTCCAGTAGCCTCCCATCAAATCTGGGTCAAAAATCATACTCCTTACCTCATCCTTAAGACTTGACATAATTCTGTCCCTGCAGACCACTTTCACATATCTTCACCGGGTCTCCGTAAGTCCTAACCGCACAGCAAGCTCTGGAACCCCAGAGACACACGGCTCTAGTTCCCTCTGCCTGAAATGCTCCTCCTCCAAATGATTACTCACATCTGGGTCTCTCTTGTCATGCATGCCATGGTTTCTGAATTTACTTCCTCAGAGAAGTCTTTGCTAACTGCCACTGTAAAGGCATTTCCCTGTTCTCTCCCTATCACATCACCCTGTCTAGTTCACATCACAGGAGGACTCACTTCCTGTCTTTTCTCACCTCTGCCCCTGCCTGACGGGAAGCTCCAACAGAGCAAGGGCCTTGTCGGTTCTCCACCAGTTTGCATCCCCCACACCTAGAGTTGCTTACAGGGCTCAGTTAACATTTACAGACAAAATGACACCATCCACCAAAGTGGAAATTAAGTCAGTAGACAGAAGATCTCTGTGTAGAAACAACTCTTCTATTATTGGGAAAAAATTATTCCTACAGGGCTGGGGTTGTAACTCAGTGGTACAGTAGTGCTTGCCTGGCATGTGTGAGGCACTGGGTTCAAGCCTCACCACCACATAAAAATAAATAAAGGTATTATGTCCATCTACAATTAAATAAAAGTAAAAAAATAAAATAAAAACAGAAAAAAAACTAACACTTTTTTGTAAAAAAAGAATTATTCATACAGGGATAGAAGTGAATCCATGCTTCCCATAGATATGAATTTTTTCTTACCCAATGCTTATATGGATAACAGTTTAAATATCCCAGAGGAAACTACATATGAAAACTGTTCTTAAAAGTTCTTGGGTTTTCTTTATTTGCAAACCCTGTATTCTAGGTCATTCCTTTTGGAGTAATACAGATAAAGACACACACACATTTGTGTATATATACACATACACACATGCACACACAAATACATATATATCTCCTGAAAACATTGCACAAGCCCCAAGTCACCATTTACAAAATATCACAGGATGAGGGCACCTATGTCAAGCCCCAAGTCACCATTTCACAGAATATCAGAGGATGAGGGCACCTATGTCAACTGCCAGAATTCACTATCCCAAAGTGCCTCATCTTCCTTCTCCTGACCTCAATTTCCGCCTGGTGCTCCAATTTCTCTTTGTCAGACATCTTTTTTCTCCAGTATTTTCAGATTTTGTAATTACAAAAGGAAACCATGATTATGTCTTCATAAAAAACCCCAAATACAGAAACCTAGAGCAAAAAGGGAAGAGCTTCCATCACACCCAGCCCCACCAACCCTACATCATTCTCAGAAATAACACTGTTAACCATTTTATTTCTTCCTGGCCTTTTTCTAAGGATTAGCATACTTAAGTCAGATCCAAAGATCTGTTTTATTTTAAGAACATACACAAGATCATACTGGATATATTCTATAACTTGCCTTCTGTTTTTCTCAATAGTGGCTCTAAAGGGAATAACTTATTTTTCTTAACTGTTTTATCATTTTCTATAGTATACAGTATTTACTTAGCCAGACCCTATGGATACAAATTTATTTACAGGTTTTCACTATTATAAAATATACATTAGTAAATATCTTTGTTTATAACATTTTGTTGTTGTTATTGGCTTTCCCTTAGTAGTTACAACCTTAGTCCAACCTCATTATTTCCTAGAAGATAAAGCTATATAAGTCATGGTTTGTTCTCTTAATTTTCTGCACACTACCTATTGTTTGTGGCGTGTGCAGGGGGAGATGATTATAGATGTGAAACCACATGAAAAATGTACTATCTCAATGGCAAGTAATCCCAGCGTTTTATTTTTTTGTTTTTTTTTTAACAGAATAAAGTCAATAGTTAAAAGAGAATGACATTATTTGCAAGCTTCTGATATATGGAATTGACCTAAATGCCTTGTGCAAAAACAGACTTCCTCATAAAAGGCGATTTTCAGAAGCAGGTACTTGTTCTGCTCTGTTTTATGCATGATGAGAGATAAGGGTTTAATTTCACTTTGTTGCATACAGATTTCCAGTTTTCCCAGCACCATTTGTTGAAGAGGCTATCTTTTCTCCAATGTATGTTTTTGGCGCTTTTGTCTAATATAAAATAACTATATTTATGTGGGTTTGTCTCTGTGTCCTCTATTGGTCTACAAGTCTATTTAGGTACCAATACCATGCTGTTTTTGTTACTATAGCTCTGTAGTATAGTTAAAGTCTGGTATAGTGATGCCACCTGCTTCACTCTTCTTGCTAAGGATTGCTTTAGCTATTCTGGGTCTCTTATTTTTCCAGATGAATTTCATGATTGCTTTTTCTATTTCTATGAGGAATGTCATTGGGTCTTTCAGTGTTTTAATGAGAGAATGAGCAAACTCATGAATGGCACCTAAACATGCTTATGTTGGTCATTTCTGTGGCCCAAGAAAGGAATTCAAGAAGAGATGTCATTTTTAAGAGGAAATTCAAGATATGGCCTGAAATGCATGCTAACCACTTCCTTAGAATAAAAGATATGATGGAACAGAAATCACACAAAAAAGTATTGAGAGTAAAAGATAAAATTCACTTTTAAATTAATAAATAATTAATTTTGTTGTGTGTATCCCCAGCCCTTTTTATTTTTGTTTTCAGACAGGATCTTAGTATATTGCCCAGGCTGGCCTAGAATTTGTGATCATCCTGCCTTGGCTTCCTGAGTTGCTGGGATTACAGGCATGTGCCACATGGAACTCACGTGTTGCATGTTAAATTAATTGACAAAAATTGCATATATTTATGGTGTATAAGACTATGTTTTGAAATATGTATACATCATGAAATGGCTACCATGAGCTAACATATGCGTTCTCACTATTTTTTATACGTGTGGTGAGAACATTTAAAATCTACCCTTAGCAATTATACACTGTTATTAATTATAGTCACCTGGGTATATAACAGATCTCTGGAATTCATTCCTTCTAACTAAAATTTTGTACTTTTGTTATTGTGCTGGGGATTGAACCCAGGGCCTTGTGCATGGAAGACAAGCACTCTACCAACTGAGCTGTATCCCCAGCCAAGTTTTGTACTTTTTGATCAGAATCTCCCCAATTCCTTTCCCTCCCTCAGCCCCTGGCAACCTGTTCAAGGTTTTAAAGATTCTACACATGAGTGCGATCATGTAGTATTTGTGTTTCTGTCCAGCTTTTTTCATTTAGCATAATGTCCTCCAGGGTTACTCATGTCACAAATGACAGATATCCTTCTTTTTTAAGGCTAAACAGTATTTATTCCACACTATATATCCTAAGTTGTTTTTATTCATTCATTTGTTGATGGACACTTCGGTTGATTCCATATATTGGCTACTGTGAATACTGCTGCAGTGAACATGGGAGCGCAGATGTCTCTGGCAATACTGATTTCATTCTCTTCAGATATATATATCTAGAATACTGCTACATCGTTTGGTAGTTTTATTTTCAATTTTGTGAAGAGAACTTCATAGTCCATAATAGATGCACTAAGTCACATTCCCCTCAACAGTGTACAAGGGATCCCCTTTTCTCCATATCCTCACCAATGAAATTCATTATAATCAATTTTCATGATATCTTGCTAAGTATGTCCACTTCTAAACAAAAGCAAGTGATCAGAGAAGGCAATCTTACCAAAGCATGTGAGTTGATTCTTTAACACAGCTCTTCATAACCTCTTTCCATGCCTCTTTAGATCTACTTCCCTTCATGCTTTGACGT